AGCACAGGGTTTCCAAGGCTGCGTATCTTTACGGGAGCAGAAACCTTCATCTTTCTCCTGCGGAACAGCTGGTAGTTTTGAACTGCCAACCTTGAGGTTAGCAGCCTTATTCATAACCATTACGCTACCAGAGCTCCTTTTCTTAGGCACAGTGGCGTCTAAAATGCAAATTTGAATGTCCCTCTCCTGCTGAACCTTTCCCAATTGCATAAATATAGTTTAATTACTTGATCTCCTTCAGCTGGGTCCTATGCACCACATTCCTTAGTATCCTCAGTCAACCTCCTTTGCCCACCCCCAGCCACTTTTTAGTCCCTATCCTCAGTGTTTCCATATCATCAACATAAAATCTAAAGTCCTTAAGCTAGTTTTCAGTGCTTTTTATTATTTAAATGTTAACTCATTGTTCACCGCCCTAAACTTGTTTTTGTAAAATATCTGAAGAAGAAAGAGGTCCTGAAGGACATTGGTACCACTTTGAAGACCCAGGGGTAGGATCTGTTCATTATCATGGTGCTTTTTACCAGGCTTATTACAGTAGGCCAGAAAGAGCCTTGACTAAATCACCATAACTCCTACCTTCTCAAGGCCTGGAGTCCAGGGGGCTTGATTGTGAATTTCTTTCAGGCAGGGGTTTGTCCAGGATTATTTCTGATGGGTATCCCAATCTGAGCCTTGTCAGACTGTTAGCCCCAGCATGCAATGAAGTTCTTTTGCTTTGGACTGCTTTGAAAGGCCTAGGTAAAATAATGTTTCCTTGAACAACTAACTAAATAGAAATGATAAACTCTTTGTTGGTTGTGATTCGGCTCTTGCGTCACCCATCCGCTCCTATACATGTATTATTGTTTTCAGGTGCCATCGAGTCGGAACCGACTCATAGCAACCCCATGCACAGCAGAACGAAACAATGTCCGATCCTGGGCCAACCTCACTACTGCTGCCACACTTGAGTCCATCAATGATGCCACCTGGCCAATCCATCTCGTTAGAGGTCTTCCTCTAATACATGTATTAGATTGACTAAAACTAAGAGTAACCCCACCACGTTTGATGATGTGGCAGGGCTGAAATTCTCACGTCTTCTGGTGGCAACGTAAAATGATACATCTACTTTGGTAAACAGTTTATTTAAAAGTTAAAGCTTGACCTACCATGTCTTTATCCAAAAGGGTGGTTGCGAACTGGTAACAGTTGCATCAGAACCTGTCTAACTTCAAGGAAGATAATGCAAATCAAGATGTGCCTAAGGCTGATTTCTGTAAGATAGAGGTCAGATACACCTCCATTCGCCTCCCCACAGGTCTCTCCACTCCTCTGTTAGATTTGGTCATGTGTTGCAATGGCCACACAGACCGTACCACAACCTAAGGATTAAGAGGCTGCAATTTAGAATCAGGATTTAGAAACATATATGCAAAGTCTGGAAGTCTCCCCTGCAATGAAGAGCACATATCTCCCATCTTCAGTGTAGGACAGCCCCCACAGCTCCTGTCAGCCACACAAGCAAGCAGACCCTTCTCTCTACTGTGTACTCCCCTTTCAGTGTACAGGACTCCTGGGAAGGACCTGTCTATATCCTTGAGGATTCACTTCTCTGCCTTCGGCCTCCCTGCTTGTCAGCCTTTTATAGCTTTTATAGCTAGCATACAGTTTTGTTCACTCTAGCTGCTTTCCTAGAAGCAGGTTTCTGCTGTTGCCATTGACTGCTGCAGGTCCTGCCTGGGCCTGTTAGCTCTGGTTCTTCAGTTTTAACCGCCTTTGACCTGTGGTGCTGTGGGTTAATGCACCAGACTGCAAAGCTGTTTGAACTGCCAGGTCGGCAGTTCAAGCTCACCAGCTGCTCTTCGGAAACCCTATACAGGGTAACTATGGGTCGGAATTGACTTGACAGAACCGCACTTAACAACAACAGTGCCTCTTTTGGAGTCCTGGTGTGGTGGTGTAGGCTAATGTGCTTGACTGCAAAGTCAGTTTGAACCTTAAGGTTAGCGGTTCAAACTCACCAGCTGCTCCTTGGAAACCCTGTACAGGGTCGCTGTGGGTTGGAACCGACTTGACGGCACCTAACAAAAACAACAGCTCTTTTAGGAGGTTCGTCACTAACCTCCTCTCTTCTCTGCTTCTTTCTTTCTCTTGCCTCTTGCCTTTCCCTCGGTTTGCTTCTCTTCCTTCTCTATATGCAAAACTGTAGTGTTGGCTGCATACACAGGGGCACTTCACAAAGTTCATGGAAAAATTCCATTATCCTTTAATTACAGTTTCCACATATGTTTTGAAGTTCCCTCATACAGGTATGTGGTTATTAATGTCCACAGTATGTTCTATGAAATAGGATGTTGTGTGATTTGGATGTTATGGGAACACCTCTGTTCCCAGTGGATCAAGGGGGCTCCCAGGTGAGTAGTAGGGGTTCTGTTGTACAATGGCTGAGTTGGTCTTACCCAGCAGGCTGCCTAGGCAACTCTCACTGTGAATTCATCTGGTGAGTGCTTGGCTCGGTCCCACCTGGCTGTCACCACTTTGTCTGATGTGCCAGCTGCAGGGAAGGCCAGTTCTCTGGCAGAATCTGCCTTGGGTCAGGGATTGGTGTTGGCTAAGGGGGACTGAGGGTGCCCAAGTGCTTACCTTCCTATCAGCATCCTATGAGACCACTCCAGGTGGTACCCAGGGAATCTGGACCCACTGAGTTGACAGAGCCAAGGTGGGCTGGGGTTGGGAGTTTGGCCTTGGCCTCATCACTGTACACTAGGTGGCTTCCAGGCCATGCACAGCTGAGAAGTGGGACTGTAACCTCAAGATGAGGATCTGGTATCCTGGCACTCAGACATCTGGATGCCTGTACCATGGATATATATGCGTCGGATGAATGTATATGCAGTTGTGTGTTGCCTGAACAGACAGTAAGCAACACATACCTGGATAAGGGAAATTCTTGGTCATTGTCAAAGCATAGCCAGCCCTCACCAGGCCACAAACTGACCAATCCCTTCTTGATAAACCATGGTCACAACATTTACATAGTAGACTATAGTTAATTTGTATATTCAGTCATCGTTTCATTTGTATAATATATTGACCTATGGCTTCCTAGTGCATACTGGGCTTGACTACAGCTTAGGGCCTGACAAAAGGTATCAAATCATCAAGTTGTTTACAATTTACCTAGGAAATCTCAATCAACCTGGAGAAAAGTAACAAATCCACTAGGGAAAAGGGCTTAGGGGGAAAATATATACTTCAAGATGTTTTTTAAAGAACCAAGACAAAAGGCCAAAGAACTCATTTTACCTCAGAGGTTATGTGCCTAAAAGAGAGTGGGCTGATTTGATCCCTTAATAACAGTGGTTTTGAATCTTGTGCCTTTGCTGTATTGTGAGTGACATGTGTGCCTGGTACCCTGAAAACATGCCTTGACTTTGATTCATGCTTGGGGAAGCTGACTTCTGCCTCTTGGGATTCCTCAGGCATTCAGGCTGACTGGAAGGCCTGAGAGGAAACCAGCTCTGGATGACCTGCTACACTTATTTGCTTGTCAGGGCAGAGGCGGAGCCACCCACAGCCACCATTTATAGAGCATGTCACACACATCATTTCAGTTTCACTTCACAGCTCTTCTCAGGTTGATACTCTTGTTCTTCAGATGAAAAACACAAAAACAAAAAAATCAGATGAAGGTTCCTTCCCAAGCCTTTGTTCCCCCATGGCGAAGCTCTTACTCTTCATCTTCATGGATCAAGAAGGGCATGCTTTGCCTCACATTCCTTATTTCCCCAAGGTCAAGTGTGGAGATGTGTTGCTCTCTTTTGCTGTCCACTTTACCTCCCTATTCTTTCCCAACTTCTCTTCTCTTGCTTTTATGTTTAATATTTAAATATTTATTGTGTACCGAGCAAAACTCTACTACTTAATTATAGAACCCTTATAACAGTGTTACAAAGTAGTTTGTATTCCACTCAGGGTTCCAGTGAGAAAATGGAGGCTCAGAGAGGCTAAGTGAACTTTCTAAGTGAACTTTCTAGAACACACAGCCGCATATAGGAAGTGTCAGCCAAGATTTCTGTTCAGGTCTGTCTTAAGTTAGAGTGTGCTTAACCATAACATCATTCTGCATCGATTCTAAATGTTTAGCTCAGGGATACATAGAAAAGAACCTTTGTATGTTAGGATTTTACACAGGGGAACTTTTCTATAGCTCTTTTAACTTATCTATGTTGTTTTTAAGTACCGTGGAGTCAGTTACGACTCATAGCAACCCTGTATAGTCTTTACAAGGAGCAGTTGGTAAGTTTGAACTGCTGACCTTGTAGTTTGCAGTCCAGTGCTGATCCTGCAGTGCCATGTTATACCAAATTTATGGAATATGTGGCATGAAATTAGTTTGGCTATGTACTAATAAACAGGCAATAAGGATGGGCTCTCTGTTGTTGTTGTTATGTGCCGTGGAGTCGGTTCCGACTCATAGCCACCCTACACAGGGTTTCTGAGGCTGTAAATCTTTACAGGAACAGACCGCCTCATCTTTCTCCCGTGGAACTGCTGGTAGTTTCGAACTGCTGACCTTGTGGCTTGCAGCCCAATTCGTGTTCAGATGGAGTCCTGGTGTGGTGCTTTGGGTTAATGCACCAGACTGCAAAGCTGTTTGAACTGCAAAGTCAGCAGTTCAAGCTCACCAGCTGCTCCTAGGAAACCCTATACAGGGTCGCTGTGGATTGGAACTGACTCGACAGCACTTCACAGCAACAACAAATGTTCAGATAGTCATCCTGTAAACTACCTCTGATGGGACCTTAGTGGTCAATACTGGATGAATGTCATTATTAGATACATACCTGTTTGTTGAACTCTGAAGTTCTAGCATGCCTTCAGTGATCTTGCCTTGGTGTACGTTGTTGGGTGGCTGTGGGAGAGAAGAGAAGAGCTGTTGGAAGCCTTTTCTAGGGAAGAGAACTGCAAGATCATGAGGTGAGGGTTCCTGTTTTGTTTTGTTTTCCTCCTAGTACTGAGCATGCTCCATAAACCGCTGGGAAACGTCCTGGGAAAACCCCCCTTGAGCTTCCTGCCTCTGGATCCCCTTGGGACTGACTTGATGGACAAGTTTCCAGCACCCTCAGTGAGAGGAGCCCGCCTGGACACCCGGCCCATCCTGGACTCCCGTTCTAGCAGCCCCTCTGACTCAGATACCAGTGGCTTCAGCTCTGGATCAGATCATCTCTCAGATTTGATTGTATGTAACTTATTCATGGGGGCTTGCCTGTGTATATCCAAGGGGAAGATGGGTACAGTATCTACCTTGGAACTTACAGTGGGGATGCATGTCTGGTAGAATGCAGACTGAGAGGTGGGGTGAAGGGAAGAATGGAGGCCATTGTGGACATGCTTAACCGAGTCGTGGGTTTGTATTTGCACATTGAGTAATAAACTTAAGAGTGGAACTAAAGGTTCTCCTTTTATTATTCACTCTAAAGTAAATATGGAGGTACTGGTAATTTTCTGTTTCTTGACCCACATGGGTATTTCTTTTAACCTTAAAACAATATTATTTATGTTCCTTTGCTTATATCTGATATTTGTAAGTGATCATTTAAAAAAAATCACATAATTAGTATCAGGGCTAAGATTTTAATCCAGATCTGTTTGACTTTTGCCCCTCTGTTCTTTGTACTGACCCATGACAAGTCTCAATATGAGGTCATGAAGAACTTAAGAAATAATGCCTTAAAGTTCACTTATGCATCGCATGTTGTTACCTACTGCCCTGTATGACAAGAGCAGTATCCATGTTTCGTGGAGTTAGCAAATGGATTTGAGTGGGTATGGGGAAAAGGGGATAGTAGAAATAAATATATATGGGATTGTTGTTGTTAAGTGCTGTCGGGTCCGTTTTGATTCATAGTGACCCTGTATAGGATTTTTGAGAAGCAGCTGGTAAGTTTAAACCGCCAACCTTGCAGTTCAAACTGACCTTAAAGGTTGAGTGCTTATCCTGTGGTGCCACACCAGGACTCCTATATATGGGATTTGTTGTTGTTTTTAAGTGCCGTCTACTCTGTTCCAACTCCTAGCAACCCTGTGTAGGATTTCCGAGGAATGACTGGTGAGCCTGAACTGTCGATCTTGTAGTACAGCACATTAATCCACAGCCTCACACCGTAACTGGGATAGACAGTAAGAAATCATCCGAAAATAAATACAATTTCCGATGTCTTCTGAGCCTGATTTCTCTATTACCATATCCCCTGAGTTGAATGTTTAATGAAAAAATGACCTATTTTCCCACCCTCTTCTCTTTTTATATTGAAGATTGGCAGCAGTGGTTATGATTACAGTTTCCCATTCATAGTATGATCTTTTAGGGCCCACCTGTTTTCTCACCTTACCTGATCCTAGAATATGAAAGCTGGCATTGGTGTTCCCACTGCCTGTCGATTTTGTGGTTTAGATTGCATCCAGAAGAGTAACTGTAAGCAGGTCCCTTTATTTTTGTGGATTGCAGTTTATGTTCCTGTAAAATGGAGCCAGATGCTTCTAGTTCTTTCTTTTAAATGGGGCTCAATCTTGGAAATTTACTTTCACTAACTTTAATATTTTGATATTTTGTATAAAAACTTTCTCAGATGCCCCTCAAAAAAGAAAAGATGGGGGAAGGATAAGCACAGATACTCACAGAAGAGATTATTGGGGGATTATATGAATTTACAGTAAATACTCTGATGTTATTTTAGTTTGTATTTGTTAATGTGGTCTCATTTGTACCCAATTAAATTAGCAGAATTTAAAGCTTTGATGCAAGCTTGGAGTGAAGCACATATGCTCATAGAGTTTTTATACAAATAGAACTCCCTTAGAAAGCGTTCTGGCATTCTGCTTCTAGGACTTTGACCAAAAAGCCCCACGAACTATGAAGAGGCTGTCCTTAAAATTGTTATTCATAATTATTAAATCTTGGAAAGTACCTAAATGTTGAACAGTAGGTGAATGTGGGTCAGTGGAAGGTAGCTTGTTCCTTAAACAGAATAGCATAAATTCATTAAAAGGGCTATGAAGATGTCTTGTAATATGGAAAAATTTTTTAATTGGAAAAGGAAGGAAAATTTGTTTACATTAATAATACAAGTATAATTAATCATAGAAATGTATAAGAGTAATGTTTAAAATAAATATATCAAATGTTAGATGTATAAGGGTAAGTCAAATTATTGCTACTAGAATTCCAGTTCACACATGCACAGCTTGATTCCAAACAAAATATGTTAAATTTAAACATGTTTCTGCATTCAGGGATGACTGCAGACAAGTTTTCTCAGTAATGCATTATTTGCCTTAGTGTTCATACAGCCACAAAAAATAATTTTGAGGTCAAGGCTAATAAATTTTTAACAAAACATGAGTGGATATTTCCCCAAGTCGTAGAAGCTTTGCAACAAGTTTATGGGAGTGCTGCCCTACATAAAACAAATTGTTTTTAGACGGATCATATGTTTCAAGGTAGGTCAGGAAGACTGCAAAGATTAGTCAAGAGAGGCAAGACCATAAACCTTAATGAATGAAGAAATTGTGACTGATGTCCAGATACTGGTGGAGGAAGGCTGTAGAATAATCACTGTGATAGCTCTTGAAGTCGGGATATCACATGAGTCAGCATTTTAATCAGTTTAAACAAGCATCTTGACTTCTGCAAGCTTTTGGCTTTATGGTTGCCAAAAGCGTTGTGCAAAGATAAGCTGGCTCAAAGAGCTTATCTTTCTATCACTTATTATTTTTTATTCCCCCTCAGTCTTTTAAAAACAAAATAAAAACTTAAGACAATTTCAAGGAATAAATCGTAACCAGGGACTAACCTTGGGTTGACCAGTGTGATCCAGAGAGCAAGGTTCCATTAAAACAGTGGCTTCCAAGGTGATTTGCTGGGCAAATAAATTCGAGGCAGAGAAATCATCTCAGAAGGGTGTAGAAACTATGAAAAACTGATCGATTTTCTTGAAACATAGGATGATTCAAGGGGCTTAACTTGTTATGAGGAAGTTTGTTTTTTTTAATTGGAAACTGCGTTGGTGAGAAAAGTTTTACTGAGCTTTTTTTTTTTTTTTTTCCATCACAACAATGCACTTGCTCATTCATCAAGAGTAGCAAGGTCTGCTCTATAAGAATTTTATTGGAGAACTTTACCCCATCTGTCCTGCAGCCCTGATCTTACCCTTCAGACTCCTGTTTGTTCCCAAAATTCAAAGAACATTTAAAAGGAACATGATTTGAATCCCCTGAGGATATCAAAACTTCTGTTTTGAGGTAGGCTAAGTTGAAGAGGGTAGAATTCTTCAGGGAAGGATCAGAGAGATGGAAACACTTCCTTCAGAAGTGTATATAGATCTAGATGGAAGAGATGTTGAAGTGTATATATTCCTAGATGGAGGAGATGTTAAGGAACAATAGCTTCACATTTTTTATATTTTTGTTAACAAAGGTTTATATTATAGCAATACTTTTCGACTTATCCTTGTATGATAGTATAATAGTATTTCTATAGTGTGATTATTATGAGGACGTTTCAGAAAGTTCATGGACAAATTCCATTATCTTATAATTGGATTTTTTCCATGACCTTTTTGAAGCCTCCTTATATTTTAATATCAAAATTGTCGTTTAAAATTTGTATCTTCCTTTTTCCTCTCTTAGTCAAGCCTTCGCATTTCCCCTCCTCTTCCCTTCCTGTCTCTGACGGGGGGTGGTCCCAGAGACCCTTTAAAGATGGGGGTTGCATCCCGGATGGACCAAGAGCAAGCTGCTCTCGCTGCAGTTACACCCTCCCCAACCAGTGCATCAAAGAAATGGCCAGGAGCTTCTGTGTGGCCATCCTGGGATCTTCTCGAAGCTCCCAAAGACCCCTTCAGCATAGAGAGAGAGGCCAGGCTGCACCGGCAAGCTGCAGGTGAGTGTGACTGAGGACAGGCATGGAGCCTGAGCTCCCAATTCTGGGTACAGAAAGGAAGTAACCTTCACTCACACACTATGGAGTTGTTTGTAGGAGAGAATTGATTGCATAGTGAAGTCTCCATATGTGCAAAGAATGATCTGTATAGTAAGTGCTGTCGTTGTTGTTATGTGCCGTGGAAATGGTTCCGACTCATAGTGACCCTGTACAGGGTTTCCGAGGCTGTAAATCTTTACGAGAGCAGAAAGACTCATCTTTCTCCCATGGAACAGCTGGTAGTTTTGAACTGCTGACTGTGAGATTAGCAACTCGATTCATAACCACTGCGCTACCAGAGCTCCTTATAGTAAGTGCTACTGGGGGCCAAATTCAGAAACTTATTTGAAGCTGAATGGAGAGGAAAGGGGCAGATAATCTGATGCACAAGAGCCCCTTAAGGGGTATGATCCACCTCTCACTTGTGTTCTAAGATGGGTTATATGCTGTTGCTACCATGGCTTTTAATTGTTTCCCAGGTGGGTATCGGCAAAAGAAACTCTGACATTGATGTCCAGAATTTTGTCTACCTTCCTACGTTCTACTTCAAAGACGTATCAGACATAATCTATACTAGAGCTTTCTTCCCCAAAGCTAATTGACAGGGATACTGGGATGGGCGGTTTGAACTCAGACCTTGTGCCTTGAAAGATAGCCCTGGAGATCTGCTTCCCAAAGGTTTCAGCTTTGAAAACCCTAGGGAGCAGTTGTACTCTGCACACATGAGATCACCAAATCAGATGGACCGGACAGCAACTAAAAACAGCAATAAGGTATAAAAGATGCCCCCAGGTGTCCTATCACTTTTGCAGTTATTTTAAATACTTACTGAATCTGTTTTTTATCTTATGCCAGTATTTGGAAGTCAGTGAGTTACACAAGTCATTATCTACTATTGCTGTGAGGTGGGGGCAGGGGCGGCTATCACCCCTATATTGAAATTCTGGAATTGATGACTAAGTGGATGTTAGAGTTTCTCCATTTGTTTCCATAGGCTCAAGTATGTTTGTCTTTCTACTCAGAGAATGTTGTTGTTGTTAGGTGCCACTGACTCATAGCGACCTTATGGACAGCAGAACGAAACACTGCCCGAACCTAGGCCAACCTCACTACTGTTGCCATGCTTGAGTCTATCAATGCTGCCACTTGGCCAGTCCATCTCATTGGGAGTCTTCCTCTATTTCTCTGACTCTCCACCTTACCAAACATGATATCCTTCCCCAAGCAACTGGTCTCTCCTGATATGTTCGAAGTATAAGAGATGAAGTTTGGCCATCTTGGCCTCCAAGGAGCACTCTGGCTGCAGTTCTTTCAAAATGGAGCTGTTAGTCCTTTTGGCAGCCCATGGCACTTTCGATATTCTCCTCCAACACCGTAACTCAAAATCATCAATTTTTCTACGGCGTTCTTATTCACTGTCCAGCTTTCACATGCATATGAGGTTATTGAAAATACCATAGCTTGGGTCAAGTACTCTAGTCTCAAGCTGACATCTTTGCTCTTCAACACTTTAAAAAGGTCTTGTGCAGCAGATTTGTGTAATGCAATACATCATTTGGATTTCTTGACTGCTGCTTCCATGAATGTTGATAGTTGCTCCAAGAATGAAGTCCTTGACAACGTCAGTCTTTTCTCTGTTGATAAGAATGTTGTTGATTGGTCTAGTGGTGAGGATTTTTGTTTTCTTTACATTGAGATGTAATCCATACCAAAGGCTGTGCTCTTTGATCTTCATCAGTATATGTTTTAAGTCCTTTTCACTTTCAGCAAGCAAGGTTGTATCACCTGCATATC